TTAACAATATCCTCCAAAGGATGTCCTTTTTTAGCCTCAGGTTTAGCAAGTATTCTCTTTTCATTTTTTAGCTTTCTGGCTTTCTTAACAAGATGGTCTGAAACTGAAAATGCATTGCAAGTTTTTTCAATTGACCAACTATCAGGAGTTAATGTTAGTAATTGAACTTTTTCTTCATTCGAACTGATTTTTCCATTTTCCTTTACTGCATCTAAAGGTTTGTCTAAATCATAACAGTTAATGCACTTTTGCTTTTTCTCAGATATTATTTCTTTTAGGTCTATATCTAATGCTGATGCTACTAGGTTTGTCATACTTGTTTCCAGTTTTTTAACTTTTTGCTTTTCATATTCTAATTTGTCACGTTTACTTACATTTTTTAGAGGAGATACTTCCAGTAAAGAAGCACTCTTATTTAAAACTGTCTTATTTAGGTTTGAAGAACTAAAATGTAGGTTACTCATAAGAAAACCATTTGAATTAAACAAACATCATCAGTGTTTCTTTTTATTCCTGTTAGTTGTATTCAAACTGGAAAAGAACTGAAAAATAATCCTTTATGTTTTAGATGATGACAATGTAGATGAACCATGATCAAAGAAGAGCAAAATATCCTGGACGTAAAAAAACACGAAGATATACTTAATGGAAAATAAATACTGCTCATAAAAACCAAATTAAAAGTAAAACTTATGTTGATAGAAAAGATATATATTTCTAATGTTGTTCACCTCTCCAAGGCCAAAAGGGCCTTGGAGAGGTGAACAACATATAAAAATTTATAGGCCCTCATGCTCCAAAATAGGAGGTATTTACATACTGATTTAAACACTTAAAAAATATACAATTTGTACCAAGAAAGCTGCTTTGAGCAGGCATTATGACCTGTAAAAGAAAGCTTCTACCATCACATTTTCAACGCAGAATTTAATTTGAGCTTCCACAAACCTCATACAAAAATTTATATAACATGTGACAAACTTCAGAATTCTTCCAGACAAAGGATAAGATGCTATTACACAAAAGAAGTCACATCTTCGGAAAGCAGAACTGGCAAGACAACAAATAAAGGACACTGAAGAAACTGTGAAAGAATATGCTAATCAACAAGTGATATGTTTTGATCTGCAAAAAATTTTACCCTCAAGTCTTGACTTGCTCCAGAGTTTATTACTCACAGTTATTACTCACAGCAACTGTGGACTTACAATTTTTGCATATACAATTTAGAAAATGGCAATGCCAGCATGTTTATGTTGCATAAAGCCCAGGCTGCTAGGAGTTGTGAGGAAACGCTCTCTTGCCTATTGCAACTTAAGTGTTCAGTGATAATGCAGGCGAACAGAACAAAAGTTGTTTCACAGTAGAATTTTGGTTATACATAGTACGTACTACACACATTGAGTAAGTGGATCACAAGTATTTATTGTATAATGATTGGGAAAAAAACTTTGGTGCTATTTAAAAAGCAAGCAGGAATTCCAGAACAGGAACTTTTGTTCCAAACCACTTGATGGATGTTACTGTAAAATTGTCCCACCGATTTATGGTGGTTAATTGGGAAGATAAGAACTTCATTTCTTTAAAGCCTTTGGAAGAACATTATGCTAAGGCAGTAACAAATATTCGTGGTATACAATGGTTATGGTTCTAAAAGTCTGATCCCAAAACATTATTTTACAAGACAACATTCAAACCTGAAATGCCTTTCTCTAAGTACAACATGAAGCCTAAGCAGGCTTGGTCAGGAAGCAAGTGCGATCGCACTCGATAACTGACGACGGAAATAATATTTAGTTGCGAAAAACCGGCCAGATTTTTTAGTCGTTTTGAGAACATTTAAGTTTTTGTATGTTTCTTTGTTTGTCCGCAAAACAATAAGTTCATTTTATCGTAAACTTTAAAATATTTTGTTTTACGGACTTACATGGAAACATACATAAACTTGAATGTTCTCAAACATCTAAGTACGGAAAAATAAAAAAAAGAATATTCGCGAACAACTAATTCTATTGGTTCAAAAAATACTAACCGAAATTTCTAGAGTATTCAAAAAATACTAACCGAATGTCCTGATTATTCTGTTGAAATATTTCAAAACATTGTATTATTTGAATTTTGTTACGTTTTTGTTGAGATTTCTAGCATAAATTATTTTAAGAATATAGTATCAAACCAACTATTATTTTAATTCTTGGAGCAACATCTACAAAGCTATAAATCTTTTAAACTAACATTATTTGTTTACAATAATATATGTTTTAACTTTATATTTTTTAACTTGTCAACGTTTTGTAAATATATTATAGAATTTATTAGTATATTCTAATTTTTTATATACAAGGGATGTATTTTTAATGTATGTAATGTATTTTTATGTATGAAAAGTATTTTTATTTATGTAATGTATTTTTATGTATGTATTTTTTATGTATTTATTTTTATATATGTGTATTTTATTCAAATGTAATCTTTTAAAACAATATGTGCAATTGATTTTGTAAACAAAAATACTTTCAATAATAACTGTGTTTTTAATGAAATTATTCATAATCATCAAAGTTAATACAAATAATTTTAACCACTAATCCATTTTCCTCAGTGTACTCGATAACTCATTCTTTCTCCCAAGAAAGAAAAGTTTCTAAGTTCTTAGAAATTGGTTTACTAACTTCAATTATTTTTGCTTCAGCCATTCTTACAAACTCGTTATACTTAGAGTTACTTTTTTCTGTTTTAAATACTAATTAAAATTATAAAGCCCATTTACTAAAACACCATCAGCAGTATTGTGAAGCAGTTCCACTTCCTCCTCACAAAGTAATTTAACGTTTTTTTAAATTTATACCTAGCTAATTGAATTTCTACAGTAACTCGATGATTTAATTATTTTATTTGTTCATCTTACTTAGAAGAATTATTTCAAATATGTTAAACTTTTTAAACTACGTGAAGCATAATACAGTTATTGAAAAAACCTTTTTATAAATAAATCATTTGGTTGAACCTTGTTGGACTTTTCAGGGCCGGAGGCTGCATTATTTTTGCGGCCTTTTTTATGTGCCACAGCGTAAAATGGACTAAAAAAATACTGAATGGTCCTCTTGACTATTTTCCCTGACATTGTGAGTCCCGGGGCTATAGCACTACTACCCCCACCCCACCTCCTCAATCCAGCACTGGAAATAAGACATGAGTATATAAATAAAAATTATATATACTTTTTAATAAATCGAAGAACATTTGTTTTTATATAGTTGTTACTTTGTATAAAAAATGTCGCTTAATTTTATAGAAAACCTTATAAAAGAGCGACGTTTCAAAAATAATTGCTCTAATACATTTATTTTGCTTAAAGTTTTTTCATGTTAAAAGCTATTTTTCTTTTTTAACTGTCTCTTATCGGTCCAGTTAATTTTATTGCGCTTTTTTGTTTGTTTTTGAAATGTTCTCAAAATGACTAAAAAATCTGGCCGGTTTTTTGCAACTAAATAATATTTCCGTGGTCAATTATCGAGTGCGATCGCACCCGCTTCCCAACCAAGCCTGCCTAAGGAGGCTCCAAAACAATGCCATCTGCCACAGCTACCTACAAAAAATGCATCTCCATAAATAAAAGCAAGCAAGTACAGAAGACAAATGGTGATGGCCATGATGACGTTTTTTCAAAATTCAATTGTTAATTAGAGGATAATAAAGAGAGTTCTGGAAATTCCACTGTGATAAAAATGTTGACCCAAGCAGAATTTAAGCGAGAAATCACTTTAGCAACTTTACTAATGGATGTCTAAAAGTGGATTACCCTGTTTCTTAGGGATAAAAGATGTGATCACCAGAATCAAGAGATGAATTAGAGAAAAAGCTCTTGGTAAATAGTTTTATTTGTTATTCATATATTTAATAATTAGAGAACTTGAATCATGAATAATGTGTGACACCCTTAGCAATAAGCTAATCAGTTACTTCATTCCTATGAATTACCCTTCATTACTACTAATTAAGTTATAATAAAGAACTCCTCAAGGTGTGGCTTTGACAATACACACTAGAAGCACTAACAGGGACACCTTCCATGTGCAGTTAGACACTGTTAATACCCTAATACTTTACAGTTGTTAATGGAATCAATTTCTCTGAGAATACTACAGAGTTTAGGAAACCTTACTAAAAACTTACTAAAAGCCATGCCTCATGTTGCATTGCATGAAATACAAGCAAAAACCTAACTAATTAAAACAAACTATGTAGAGACATAAAGATACAGCATTATGCGCCCTAAACAGGAAACAATTTAACACAGATTTACATCTAAGCTAACCTATTATATGAAGGGTGCAAGGTTGGCCAACTGAAAGGCTCTGCTTAGCCCTAAAATGCCTTTTACATGTAAGCGAGTTAAAACGACCGAAAGCTAATATTTTTATTAAGACATTAACTTAATAAAACCAAGAGCACTAAAAAATTTATACGTGCCTTTGCCAAGAAAAGTAAATCCTACAAGGCAACAGGGCAAAAGGATTACATATTTCAAGTAGTGGATTAAATTTGATGATTCTTATATTTTCTTTTAAAATAAATACAAATCTGAAATTTATTAATGATACTAAATTAAAACTAAGCTTTTTTAAAAATAAAAGCTTTTTAATTTGAAACTATGTAAAAATTTGCACATTTTTTGTTTTTTAGTTAGGTTAGTTATAATGCTATTTACTTCAGCCAAGAAATATCAGGTGACTTTTAAAAAATGAAATGTTTAAAAAAAACACTAGGCTGTTCTTAAAAAACAAAATGTTGCTTTTAAAATTTCTAAGAACTGCTTTTAACCTACTGTTTGTATAAATTATGTATTCCTGTAATTCTATGTAATAAAATATATGTAATAAAATTTACCCTGTATCCTATCTAAAACCTCAAATTTACCCTGTAAAAGTTAAAAACTCTAATCCTATTCACATAAACATATTTACCCTGTACCCTATGTGCCCTATACCCAAACTTACCCTATGTATAAATTTCATTTCTGAAAGGTACTTCATTCCACTAGCAACACCGCGAGCCATTCCAAGCAGTTGAAGGGTAGTAAACTGCATGTCATTGGTCTAGAAAATTTGTGAAAAATTATTGTTCAGTAAACTAAATAGAAAAAACTAAATGTTGGAAGTGTTTTTATTAGGTTTTATTTTCTTTCTAGAAACGAAAACAAAAAAAAACATAAATTTTAATAAAAAAACTGCCAGACATCAGTTTTTACCTAGTAATAATGTTTTTGAGATCTCCCAAAATTATGTTTTAACACTGTTCTAGCAAATTATCCTGAGTTAAAGCATCTATTATATATATGCAAATTACTTACGAAAAATACAAATTAGCATTGGAAAATAGTAAGATAATGATATATAGTGAGAAATATGAAAAAGTGAGAATGTTACCTACTATTTTTTTTTCGGGTTTATTGTTATCTAAGTATTATCTAAGTGTTATCATTATCTAAGTATTAGCAGAATTTTTTTTATACCTAACAAAGTTTATATAGCGCAAGAAAAGAGAAAAATATACCATACTTTAAAAAAAAGGTTTTTTTTTCTTATAGGTCTTTATAACAATAAAAAATCAAGATTAATAACATTAAATAAACTTAAGAAGAAAATTAAATTAAAAATTAAATTATTTTTATTTTCAATTAAAAACACTGTTGAAGCTTAAATATCTTTGTATTTGTGAAGACATATTCACAGTATTTAAATAACGAAATATTGTATTTAACAAAAAAACTTGAATTACCTGCAAAAATTTGTCCAAAGCGCCGTTAACCATAAACTCTAGTACGATTTCATTTGGACTATCTGATTTTAATAAAGATTTAGCATTTTAAAAATAAATTTTAATAGTTTTTTAGACAATATTTATCAAATATATAATAACTTCTTATACCTTTAAGCAGAACTCCATATAAATGGACAACATTTTGATCATTAAACTGACCCAAAATGGCAGCTTCACCAAAAAAGTCATCACGATCATTTTTGGAAGCATTAGACTTAAAAAATAAAAAAAATGATACAAACATGTTATTAAAAATAAAATAATACAACTAAGTAATAAAAAAAGTCACTTTTAGTCAAAAAGTTTTATAGCACCCTATAAGATTTTAGAACAAATAAAATGCCAAGTTTAGAGAAAATTAAATAAAAAAGAAATTGGAATTAAATTAAAACAAATGAGTTTCATAGTGCTTTCATAGTGTAATGATGATATAGTATTAACAATATACAAAAGTAATTTTTATCACTGTACAGTCTCTTAAACAGAATGTCCCAGTTGCAGTTGTCAATGCTTTTTCAGCATCTAGGGAATAGAGATAGACAGGTGAGTTGTTGTTGTTGTAGTGTTTGATTGTTTCACTAAAAACAAACTCTGTAGGTTGAGCTATTTTTAGTAAAACTAAATTGAAGAGGATGAACTTCTTTTATTTCTGGACAGATTAGCAGGATAAAATATTCTATTAGTTTCCTAAAAATTGGAATGATGCTAATCTCCCAGTAGTTATTTGGATCAATTAAAGATTTTTTATAAGATTTAGCACTGGTATAATAAGTGATATAGACATCGATTTTTGATTAAAAGAAAAATTAAAGAATTTTCTGAGCCGTTCTGTTGTTTCTGAGTCATTCTGTTGTTTCTGAGCCATTCTGTTCACAAATTGCATTCTTTAAATGTTCATTCCAAAGGTGTCAATGGATTTATTTAATTTTAAGCAAGAAATAACCTTTTTTATATTATAATTGGATATTATCACCTCGTCAATTATAAGGTCTAGTGTTATGTTTATCACACTAAATTGCACAAAATGTCTCAATGGTTTCAATAAATAATTGTTCTTGAAGGTTTCAAATTGAGTTTTCTGAGATAAGGTTCATGTTTGCAATAACTAAATCTTTTGGATGAGAAAAAATTTTCTAAATGTTTTTCAAAAATTTTCCTTCAAATATATAAATGTCACACTTTAAGTAGTTAAACATCAATTGATCGTGGTACCATATTGGTTTTGTAGACAGTTCTTTTTCAAGTAACTTTTTATTAATAAAAAACTTTATTTTTTGTTTCATTGTTTTTTTTTCTCTGTAAAAAAACACGTCTTGCTCTCTTGCATATAAGTTGCAAATAATGTTTTTATGATCTTTTTGTCAAAACATCATAAAAAATCATTTTGTGGTCTATGCCAGGGTTGCCAAGTCTTTTTTCAGGCACAAGCCAAAAATGAAACAAAAATAAACCAGAAATAAACCAGACCCATAGAAAAAAGAAAAAAAACATAGCTTTTTGTTTTAAAGCCTTGTTTATAATTTATATTTTGGAAAAAATACTTTTTTATCCAAAAATTCATCCTTGCATGCAAGGCTTGGTTTGATATTTTCTTAGTCTGATTTTTATGCAAATGACCTGTGAGAAGACTCAACAAAATAGTTAGAAACAGAAAACATAGACAGCCATTGCAGTAAGCATCTATATTGCAGAGGTCTAATTCTCCGGAAACTTCTAAATGGTCTCACAAAGCAGTTTAAAATTCAGCAGTTTCTTTAGAAACTTATTTTTCTTAAAAGTTTTTAGACTCGTTCTAATGATGCAATGTCAATTAATTTATGATTAATGACGATTTCTGTAATGATTTTTAGCTTCATCACTTTTTTCATCCATAAGATAAAACTGTAGATTTGAAATGGCCTTTTCAACTTGGGAAACAACATTCATTACAGGCAGATTTTTCTCAAAAAATGTCATTTTGAATGTAAGAATTTTTTAATATTTTTGGCAATTAAGGGATAAAATTAACATTTTAATTACATTACAAATAAAAGTTTTTAACGTTTTAAGATTTCAATGTAAGCATTCCTTTCATTTATTTTAAACTTGATTGTTATTCTATAAAATGAAAAAAATGAAAATCTTTTTTTTCCTCAAATTAACTTTTTTCATAAAATAAAAACCTGATTAAATTAAATTTTTTATTAAATAAACCAGAATTAAACCAGATTTTAAAAAACATACCAGAAAAAACAAAAAAAGACCAAAAACTTTAAAATAAACCAGATTTAAGCCAGATTTTCTGAAATAAACCAAAACAAAAGTTCCGAGCCAAACAATAAAAAACAAACCAGATTTGAGAAATCTGGCTTTAAAAAACACCAGATGGTGATATACATATATATATATATATATATATATATATATATATATATATATATATATATATATATATATATATATATATATATATATGTATGTATATATATATATATATATATATATATATATATATATATATATATATATATATATATATATATATATATATATATCATATATACAACATATATGATATCTATATATAAAAAAATTAGCAAATTTTTTAGTAATTTTCAGTACTCAAGAAAAAAGAAAATTCTAGAAAAAACTTCAAAATATTATAAAAAGAAAGTTCCAACTTATCATAAAAAGAAAATCCAACAATGAAGAATTTAAACTTTGTTGTTTAAGAAAACTTTTTAAACATTTAAACCAAGAAAACTTGTATTAAAATCTTAATGAAATTACAAACAGGATCTTTTTGCAATAAATTTTAACTGCACACAAATTCAAGGTTTGCAATTCAAGTTCCATGTATGTGGTTTGAATAGTGCACCATACATTAATGGTAAAAATTAAATGTACATTTGGAAAAATGCTTCAAGAAAAGTATGTGGTCAAAAATGTTTTAGTAAAAAAAAAAAAACTGGAAGAACTACAATTATGAAAGAACTACTCATTGGTTGTCAACATTACGTTCTTGACCAATTATTCCAAAACTTGTTAAGAGCTACAAACAACTCAGACAAAATTTCAAGAATAATAAAGAAGTGATTACTGAAACAGTAGGATGGCACAATGACATGAAATTTCTATTTCTTTTAACTCAGGAAATCTGCTTTTTTGAAGAATTTGTAGTATTTCATAAAGTGAAGTTTCACAAATTAAATAATTTAAGATGAGCAATACTAGCTTTTTATTTTTCTACCAGAGAGAAGAGATTCAATACTCAACATTTGTAGATTTATCTCTTATATATGGGCAGGCCATTGTTTTACGGACCAAATGTGCAATACAGATGAATATTGAAAGCTATGTAGCAGTAGATGGTGCAATTATTCCAGTTTACCCTATATATTAAACAAAAGGTTGTGTAGTATTCAGCTTAATTAATGCATAATATACAATTCTAAACAATGCTTTGTTGAACAAAATAAATCGAAAATGGAGGTTCTCATTACAGGTGTAATAAAGATCTTGAAGGCAGTTGATTGCTCATTTTGTACACTGATTTGTTTTAGGGATTTTAAGTCTCAATGATTCCTGATTTCAAAACTTTTTCTCTGAGTTTAATTCTTTTTGGTGACCATGCAATCATGATAAGAACAACATAATGTTTTTGTAGCATTTATATGGACCGTTATTATATATATGGCATTTATATGGAAAATATCAAAATGAAGCTCAATTAGCTGAAGGACCACCATTCAATGATGCTTTTTCAAACGATTCAAGAATATTCTAACCATACAATTGCAATCCTTGCAGCAAAAACTTTTCATCAACACCCCTGGAATTTTTCTGAATATTTATTTGTTTTTGTTTTTATTCCTGTGTTGACAATAACACTAAAAAAGACATAGAAATAACCTGAAACAAAAGCCAAGGCAAAAATCTCTCAAAAAACCTGATGCTGCCACATTCGATTGGCACAATCTATTGTCTTCATTACAAAATGCACCACTGAACTTTTTGATCTAATTTTGAAGAATGACAAAGAAAAAGCAGATTCATGAAAGAATCTTCAGGTGGTAAAATGGATTCTACATATCTTGAAATAAAACACAAGGTTTTTCAAATGAAGGTCATCAGTGAGACATAGCACATAGAAAACCAAAAGCAGTTTATTCTTCAATTAGTTGATTCTTACTGGAATATATTTCCAGTTATATCAAAGTCTTCCAGATGAAGATGACTGTTGATGAAAATAATTGATAATGATTGCCTTGGACATAGTAGTAGTATGCAATACCACAGTAGTATTGCATACTACTTATACTTATATTTATACTTAGTATAAATATGTACAGTAGTCTACTGTACATATTTATACTAAGTATACTGTACTTACTATTGTAAACTATAATACTGCACTATACTTATTATTTTTAAACAACAGACAACCACACTCTAAATAGCATTAACTTATTAATAATAGTTCTATAACACAAAATAATAAGTTGTAAATTTTTTTTTTTTTACTTATAATATATAATATATATATATATATATATATATATATATATATATATATATATATATATATATATATATATATATATATATATATATATATATATGTATATATATATATATATATATATATATATATATATATATATATATATATATATATATATATATATATATATATATATATATATATATATATATATATATATATATATATATATATATATATATATATAGTTAATACCTTTAGTCTCTTAATGGCAACAGTAATATTTTTTCCATCTTTTATTAGAGTTCCCTTGTAAACATCAGCAAATTCACCACTACCTAACAATTTTCCTGACTTGATATTTTTACGATCAATCTCAATTGCAAATTTTTGAACTGCATCCTCAACTTTGTTGTATGTTGTAGGGTCAACATAAATTTTTTCCCCGTTTATTACATGATAATTCGATTTAACTATTAAGATAAAGAAAAAAAGTTTTTTAGATGTAAACAAATATATCCAGTTTATTATAAAATTCTAACAAAACAATGTTTCACACTATTAAAAATTAATCTGAAAATAAAAAATAATGCTACTACTATAGAAAACCCAATGTAGCAAAAAAAAAACATAATTTAATTTAATAAAGAACCTGTACCATCTTCAAGTCTAACAACTTCAGTAGGTATCTGATGAAACTTTTTCCAAATAATAAAAAAAATAAGTAGTATAATTAAAATAATTGCAAATGCTCCACAAATACCACCAATCAAAGCGCTTAGTTTTAATGTGCCTTTTACTGTAATAGTTTCTTTAAAAATAGGTCCAGCAATTTGAATATCATTACTTGTTCCAACAAAGCACATAATCTAATGAAAAAATTTATTTACTTAAAAACAATCTAATTGAAATAAAATTATTAAACGGTGATTGCAATTATGAAATAGTTAAGCAGAAAAAGTTAAATCAATTCAAAAGAAATTTAAAATTATTTAAACAGGACTTTTTTTTTTAATTTTAAACTGGAAAAATTAAAGGAATTTTAGGAAAATGTTACATCAAAAAATATTTATCTTATTTAAAAATGTAAAAATACTTAAAATGTTAGAAAAAAATCTAAACCTCTATTATATAAGTTTTATCAAACAATGCAGAGTTTATTTCAAAATATGTATTAGATGTGACAAACACGACATCATTTTTTTTAACTTTGTAACTAATATTTCCTCCATTATTTTTCAATGGTGGCATCCAAGTTAAAATAATAGATCCATCACTATTATATTTAACTGTTATATCACGAATAAGACCAGGAGCTAAAAAATATTATTATCTAAACATATTTATATAAATTAATAATCTAAATAAACTTTGAATATAAAACATTTAAACAAAGCCTTACCACTAAATTTTGTTTGAAAGCTAAAGGCATATTTTTCATATTTTCCTGTTAATTGTGAAATATTATTTATGTAGCTTATTGTTAAATTATATTCAGTAAATGAATCCAATTTATCAAGAATAATTTGATTTTGAGTTGTATTCTTTGGAAAGTTGTCTTGAATTGAACAATTCAAGCATTCTATATAAAAATATCCCTGAAATGGCGAATCTTCTGGTAAAAGCCATTCTATAAAAGCAGATTGCTCAGTAATATTTTGTATTGTAATATTTTTTGGTGGTGATGGAGGCTCTGAAAAATATATCATTTTGAGAGTATATTGCTTGCCTCATTGAAAGATATTTTCACAGGAAGATATTTTTGATAAAGACCAATATTTTGCAATTTAGGGGCCAAAAATACAAAATAAGAATATAAAAAACAAATATAACAATAATAAACATTAAAAAAATCTGCAAAATCTGTGAATTGATCAAAATTTTGGGTCTTTGAATGTGATAAATTCTACAAATATATCTTCCGCAAAATTCTTTCACAGTATCTTTATATAAATCAAAAATCAAGGAAAAAAAAATAAAGAGCAATGAGAAAAACTTAAGTTAAAATACTGTAGCATGCAGCTGCTGAGTTGTTTACTTCACCAAAAATCCTGTAATAACCAGTCAAACAAACACATGAAGTTATTAAATTAAAAACAGAGTTTGCGCCACAAGCTTGACATGGAACATTCGCATCATCATTCTTAAAATAATTCGGGCCACATACTAGAAAATAAATAAATATTTTTTTAAAAACAAAAAATAAAATATAAAAATCCACTTGTTTTATTATCATATATATATTTATATAAGACAAGCATATGTTTTTATAATATTATAAAAACATATCCTTGTCTTAGTAAATTACAAAATGCAAGCATAATTTTGTAATATTGCTTTTGTGGAATGTTTGAAATAACCAACTTTTAAACAAAAAGAATATTCCAAATTTTTTTATGTTCATATGTATAATGCAAAGATTTTTCACAAAAAATGTTACTTTGGTAAGAGAATGGAAATAAGAAACTCTAAAATCTTTGCCCTCTCCCCTCCCCTAAACATGAGGTCAATAAATTGAATTTATTATTTTATTCATAAATATAAACTAGCTATGTATTCATCGACAGATTTGAAACTTTATACTTAAGTTATACAGTGTTCAGTTTTTATGACCATGTAACTTAAACATAAAATTTGAAATCTGTCAATAAATACATAACTAGTTTATATTTAAGATAAATAAACAACTCAACTCATTGCCCTTATATTAAGGGTAGGGTAAGGGGGTTAAGATTTTAGGGTTTCTTGTTTCCATTCTCCTATCAAGGTAATTTTTTTCTTGAAGAATCTTTTATAAATATGAACGTCATAAATATGAACATAAAAAAATTTGGAATATTCTTTTTGTTTAAAAGTTGGTTATTTTAAACATTTAAAAAACTTTCCTATGCCATTGGTTGTAATGTTTTTATTTTAGATTTTTAGTAATTTTTGGTTGATGAAAATATATCCTGGCTTCCTCAAATAAGATTTATTCAATCTAAGATTACCAATAAAATTGGTATGATGCATTGAGTTCATTCATATATCAATAAACAAAGTTTCAAACTAATATATTTTAGATTAATTAATTGTTTCATCAGTTATGCAAATATATTATGGGCAAATATTGCTTCATCAGTTATGCAAATATATCAAACTCAACCATCAAAATTAAAAAAATAATAATAACTTATAAAAACAAGCGTGCAGAATCATTTACTATAAAAATAAGCGTGAAATCAGCATTTAATTTTTATGTATCGATTCAACAATAATCTCTTCTGAAAACTTTAACAACAAGTTTGAAATAAATAGAAATGAAAACTATTATCAAAGAGCAAATATAAGTAACACATATAAACAACCTTAAAACGTTAATAAATATACTGGATATAGCATTGCATATCGAGGTCCAAATTTATCGAATATCTATCAAAAAGGATTTAAATGTATAGCAAAGACATTAATTTTATTAAAGTTTCAAATCAAAAAAGAGTTTTTTAAAGTTTGAGTATCATTTGTACTTAAGTAACTATGAAATTATTTGATTCTATTATTTTAGCTTTTATCTTTATTTGATTTACTGATTTATTTATTTTAGCTTTTTATCTTTATTTGATTTACTGATCAGCGCAGCAGTTTTATGCCCATTAGGGTTATTAATATAATAACAATATTCTATTGAAAGTATATATAGGGGCTCTATGAAAAGGTTGTGATGACATATTGTCATTTTCATCTTCTGTCATCCCCTGTCTGTTTAATTCTTTATTTTATAAAGATCATTGTAATAGAAAAAGATTATATTTTAAATTGTATATACAAAAAAGGCGCATGTTAACAAGATTTTACTGTCTATTTTGTTTTAAGAACATATTTTTTTCTTTCTTGTATATGTATATATGTTGATAAATAACTATAATTCAGACCTGGTTTTTTTTACCAGTATAAGTGACACTTTAGAATATTTTAATCAAATAATTTATGCAATAATAGCATTTAAGTAATATAATTCTAAAAGGAACCTCTGAGTTTTTATGTACTCACAGCACTCCAATTTGTACAAGATACCAATTTGTACAAATGATTTGTACAAATTGGTATCTTGCTACAAAAAAAAAGAGAATATAAAATTGTAGCATACAGCATTGGGTAACTAAGAACATAAACTATACATAAAACTAAAATTGCAACTGATGAATAAAATAATTACTAATGCCATTTCACTAATTATTAGTAAAATTTGCAATTTTAGTTTTATGTATAGTTTATGTATCTTTTAGTTCTTAGTTACCCAATGCTATAATTATACTAATGGCATTAGTCTAATGCCATCTTATAAATTCAATTATTCAAGATAATTTCTTTTTTTTTTCTCTAATAATTATAAAATTCATTTTTTTTTTCTTCTACTTTTTACAAATTTATTTAATTAGATCTATTTGATCTATTTAATTATTTTTTCTTATTTAATTATTTTCTTTTATATTTTGATAAAGTAAAATATAATGTGTATCGGTTTCACCACTATGAACTAAAATCGCTGCCGTCTCGGCCGAGACGGCCGAGACGGCATAAAATAAAACAAAATAGTAAACTTAAGTTTACTATTTTGTTTTATTTTATATTGGATTTATTTTATATTAAATGTTATTTATTGATATTTATTGATATATATATATATATATATATATATATATATATATATATATATATATATATATATATATATGTGTTGTATATATATATATATATATATATATATATATATATATATATATATATATATATATATGTGTTGTATATATATATATATATATATATATATATATATATATATATATATATATATATATATATATATATATATATATATATATATATATATATATATATATATATATATATATATATATATATATATATTGTATCTATTTAATACATATAATTAAAATACATAATAAAAAAAATAATATATATAATAAAATATAAAATATATATAATAAAACAAATAAAATACATATATTATATGTATTTAGCATGAAAAATTGTAAATTGTTGACACGAAAGTATCTATATATATCTTCTTTCTTAAAAAAAATAGCTGCAATTGCTTCAATTTTTTGTCGACGCAGACAAAACGATAGTGTCTGGTTGTTCAGGCATATCGACTAAAACGAATCTGCCCCTGTAGCTGCTGATCGTAATTATGCAGCCGATTAGATGTTTCTCGAGCCTTTCGATGGTAAGTCTTGTTCCATTGCATTGTCCATTTTTGACGTCGAGATTCCTCAATGACATTACAATTGCGCCAACCTTTAATTTTAATTCATGAGGTAGATATCCAGGGTTAGTAACGCTGTTGGGGAATTCTAGCGGAAAATGCGTTCTGTCGACATTTTAAACTTCGCCAAAACTTTTGTAATTTTTTTCCACTTCTGGTAATAGCCGTAAAATCTCGTTGTTTATTGCTAGAGAATCGACGTTTTTTAGAGTTAGAATGGCTTTGCCTTGTTCTGGCGTTACTGATTGTCGCCCTTGTCGATGTCGCGGTCTATTCCAAACCGTTGTCTACGCTGTTTGGTTGTTTCTTTTTCTCGTTGAATCCTTTTTTTAATCGCGTTCAATAGCAAATCGTCTTCGCTTTGCGAAGTTGGCGAATATATATATGATTCGTAGCCATTAGGTATTAGCTTTGCAAAAATAAAATCTCTGCAGAGAATACTAAATCGATTAACATTTGAAATCGCTTTTGGTTTTTTCTAGAAAATTCTTATGGCCAAAAGTTCAAAAAGTTGTAGAAACTTTGGAAAGTTCTAAAAACTTCGGAAAGGTTCAAGAAACTTCTAAAGGTTTTAGAAAGTTCGAGAAACTCTAGAAACTTTAAAAAGTTCTAGAAACTTCAAAAAGTTCTAGAAACTTCAAAAAGTTCTTGAAACTTCAAAAAGTTCTAGAAACTTCAAAAAGTTCTAGAAACTTCAAAAAGTTCTAGAAACTTCAAAAAGTTCTAGAAACTTCAAAAAGTTCTAGAAACTTTGGAAAGGTTCTAGAAAATTCGAGAAGTTCTAGAAACTTCGGAAATGTTCTAGAAAGTTCTAACGTGTTTACATTTTAAATTTGCTGCCTTTTGTCATGGCAGGAAAGACGGACAGACGGCTCTGCTTTATTATAGAGATATACATTTAAACATTATTAATGTTCAAATTTTGTTATGATAGGTCCTCCCTCAGTAATTGAGGGTGTAAGGCGAAAGGTACCTAGTTTGGGTAAGTTATTTGAGTATCTGGGCGAGTTTGTTTTTTTTCATAAAATTTAGCATTTTTTTTTACTCATGAATTGTGTTATTCATATAAATAACATTTTAAAAATACAAACTAAATAAGTCCAGTTTGCAATTTTCTAAAATAATATCATCATTGTGGTAGTGCCAAAATGGGGTTTGTGCGCCTTTTAGGCATTTTAGGCAAAATAGGGAGGCTCGCTTAACCACCATCGAGAGACGTGTTCTAACTAATTTATAACTGCTCTGTGTCTTTCACCATTTTTTACGGACAGTTTATGCGCAAATAGTGTCGTAAAGCGCTTACATTCCGCGTCGTTAGAATTATCTTGTTCCATCTCCACTTTCTGACAAAATTGATTTAATGATAGTGTTGTGCTCCTCAAAATAATGTCTTTCTACTGAATTGAAATCTAAGTTATAAGTAAAAAAGTTGCGTAAAAAACATAAGTTATATAAAAAAATTTATACGCCGTCTCCTAAAGTTTTTATTTTTTAAATAGTTTTATCTCAAAACTAAAAAATGTGGAGATAGAACAAGATATTCTTCTAATTTCGCGATTCGTTTCCGAATACACCATTTGCACAAAAAATCAAAGGGGTGAATGGATCAATTTATAATTGCTTCACACCACTCACCATTCTTAACCGTGTTCAACTTCTAGAAATCGTTCTAAATATTCACGTTTTTTGCTTCTTTGTGTCTACGGAATATCTGTTTTGTTGGTTGTTTTTTGGAGGATTTGGAGTTTACGTGCGTGACTCTAACATCAAAATATGCAGTTGATCCCTTCCTGCAAAACCCTTTTGATTTTAAATCCTTTCTAGCTTCGTTTCTTGTATTAGTAGTTTTGAGATGAAATTTTTCATTTGTCAAAGGAATTAAATGAAAACATCAGTATAA